CTCGTGGACGATTACATGAATATAAGCAATATAAATAAGGGACAATGTCAACAATAAGGATAACAAAAAATAACAATAACAACAATAAGGATACAAAGTTAGATCAGGATGTATGGAATGCATCCGTGTCGTATAAAGTTTAGCACATACAAGCACATACAGGAATTTAAAAAAAATCAAAACTTGTTATAATTTTAAATAAAAAATTTATGTACATAATAAACCATGACATGTTCGTTAACATTTGTGAAATTCATATATAAATAGATATATACATATACTTGGTGAATGCGTGTGCTTGCAGTACAGTTAACGAACAGCAAACAATAATACTAATAAATATTTATGGTTATAATGAAATGAATCTCGACAACAATAGTAATGAGAAGAATGTCTAAATGAGGTTAACGTTTATGTCAGTCAATAAAATGAACATAGCGGGCAGGTTTACAGATCTGCCGTCCACTGCGTGTCTGTACAGGGGGAAGAGTGAAGAGCGGGAGAGTTGGAGTTGCATTGACTTTCTGATTGTTTATTGGTGTCGGCGTTGCTAGTGTTTCATATTCGCTGTCGGTGTACGCTGGTTTAAGACGATCGATAGAAACAGTCTCCGGTTTACCATGTTTGTTCAGCGTGAAGTATTTATCGGTGCGTTTAAGTACTAGAAAAGGACCTTCATATGGATGCTGTAAACCTTTTCTAATGGCATCGACGCGAACAAATACAAATTTGCTAGTGAGTAGATTCTTATTAACTTGAACTTTCTGAAGTGATTGGCGAGGGGCTACTGGTCGAAGCTGGAGCATTTGCTGGGTAAGGCGGTTGGTGAAGTCGGAGATATTTACTTCAGTTGAATCATTAGACGGAACTAACTGACCAGGCAATGTGAGGGTAGTACCATACACAAGTTGAGCTGGTGTACATCCCAAATCTTCTTTTACAGTTGATCGGATACTGAGAAGAACTAATGGTAGGTGTTCACTCCACTTAGATGAGTCAGCTTGTGCCATAAGCGAGCTTTTCAGTTGTCGATGGAAACGTTCCACCAGACCATTCGCTGCAGGATGATAAGCTGTAGTGGAGATATGGTTCACTCCAAGGAGTCTCGTAAACTCTCGAAACAGAGTTGATTGAAATTGAGCTCCTCGGTCTGTTGTAATAGTTGTGGGTACTCCGTAGTTTGACACCCAGCGATCTAAGAAAACCAAAGCGATATTTTCTGCAGATATATCGTTGAGTGGACAAGCAATAGCCCATCGGGTAAATCGATCAATCGCAGTAAGTATATGAGTAAATCCTCTGGATGGCGGTAATGGTCCAATAATATCTATATGAACGTGTTGAAATCGTTTATCCGGTAAATTGAACTGTTTTGGAGGTGTGACGGTATGATGATGTACCTTGGATCTTTGACATTGCAAGCATTGGCGGGCCCATTTCCGAATATCGGAGTTCATCTTGGGCCAAACAAAACGCTCGCTGATTAACTTGACCGTAGCACGCACTCCAGGATGAGACAATGAATGTAGATGTTCAAACAAAGGTTTTCGACAACTTAGTGGAACAAAAGGTCTATGAACGCCCGTTGAAACGTCGCAGACGATAGTTGTATCAGACAGGGGAATAGGTACATCCTGCAACTGTAGGGAGGAGTTTCGTCTACAAGTATGGAGTTCGGCGTCATTTTTCTGCAGCTTGGCAATATTGTCTAAGCTAATATCTATCGAAGATAGGTGATTAACGTCACATCGAGACAAAGAATCGGCTACGATATTGGAATCTCCTTTGATGAACTGGATGTCTGTTGAGAATTGTGAGATGTAATCCAGTTGTCTGGCTTCTCTCGGAGAGTGTCTGTCCAACGAAGTGGTGAAAGCATAACAAAGAGGCTTATGGTCGGTTAAGATAGTAAAATGTCGACCTTGTAGTAAGAAGCTGAAATGTTTCACTGCTAGGTAGATGGCTAACAGTTCTCTGCCAAAAGTGCTGTAACGAGTTTGCGCAGGTTCCAACTTTTTGGAGAAGAAAGCAAGTGGAGTGATGTCATTATTGAACTTTTGTTGTAAAACTGCTCCCACTGCTACCTGCGATGCATCTGTACATAAAATGAGTGAAGCTTCTGGGTTGATATGAGATAACATTACAACGTTGGATAAGGCATCTTTTGCATTATTAAATGCTGCTTTTGCTTCTTCAGACCACTGAAATTTCTTCGAATTGCATCTAAGTAGGTCGGTCAGTGGCTGAACTATGGAGGCACATGATGGAATAAAACGTCGGTAGAAGTTGAACATCCCGAGAAAACGTCTAAGTTTCTTTAAGGAATCAGGTTCGGGAAAGTTCTTAATAGTTTTTATCTTATCTTCGGTAGGTCTGATGCCTTCGGCAGTTATTCGATGTCCTAAGAATTCAATGGAAGGGGAACCAAAAATACATTTCTTTGGATTGATAACAACTCCAAATTGTTCAAACCTTTGAAATAACAAGCTTAAGTGTTCCATATGTTCTTCCATCGATGAGCTGGCAATTAAGACATCGTCGATATATACAAAGACGAAATCAAGACCTTGGGTAACTTGGTCCATAAAACGCTGAAATGTTTGAGCAGCATTCTTTAGTCCGAAAGGCATTCTCAAGAATTCGAATAATCCAAAAGGCGTGATAATTGCTGTTTTTGCAATGTCTTCTGGAGCGACTGGTATTTGATGATATGCCCTGACCAAGTCAACTTTAGTAAAAATGGTCTTTCCATGTAAGGTCAAGGAGAAGTCGTGGAGATGAGGTATTGGATAACGGTCTGGGACCGTAGCGTTATTCAAAGCGCGATAATCTCCACATGGTCGCCAGTCGTGATTAGTTTTAGGTACCATATGCAAAGGTGAAGACCATGGACTGTTAGATGGTCGTATGATACCTAGCTGCATCATATGTTCGAATTCCGACTTAGCTGCTGCTAGTTTATCGGGTGGTAACCGTCGTGGACGTGCCTTCACAGGTTGTCCTGTTGTGATGATCTTATGCGTAACTGTATGAGATATATCTTCGACGTTGTATGATGGTTTAAGGATTTTAGGAAATCGTTGCAATAAAGCAGAGAACATTTCACTCTCCGGCTTTTCTATACAGATGCTATGAACAGAGTAGTCACATGTAATACCGTGGATCTTGAGTTGGGTGCAATTGTCAACCAGTTTTTTCTTGCTGATATCAACCAACAGATTGAAGTGACTTAGGAAGTCTGCACCTAGTATAGCGTGACGTACGTCAGCTACTATGAAGATCCATGTGAAACGTCGGCGTAATCCTAGGTTTAAAATCATTGACTGTTCGCCATACGTCTGTATGTTGGTTTGGTTGGCAGCACGGAGTGAAAGTTTTCCAGGTATTTTGGCTGATCGCCTGGATAGTGAGGGGGGAATAACACTGACCTCGGCGCCTGTATCTACCAGGAATAATGTGCCGGTAGTCAAATCCCTCACATAGAAAAGGCGACTGGGGTGATTGCCAGTAACAGCCGTCGCCATTACTGTCTGGCTGGGGAGTTTCCCTGAGTTGTGTTACCACTGTTGTACATACACGGTCGAAGACACTTCAGGGCATTATGCCCATACCTCCTGTGATACCAACAAATGTTACGGCTTTGGGACGGTGTTCTAGAACGTCGTCTAGATCTTGATCGCCGTTGCTTGGATACCGTATGTGACTGGTTCCTTTGTGCTCGAAGCTCAGACACTTCCAGTCGTAAGTCTTGCATTTGAGATGTTAACTGGGAAAGTAACCAAAACAGTGGTGCGTCCTTCATAGATGTGGAATCCGGCAAGGCGGTAACAGAAGAGTTCTGTATCACTTCGCCTTTATGAAGTTCTTCGGGAATAGTGACACGTTTATATGGAGCCATTGTCAAAAAAAATTTTAGTATAGAGATATACAAAATAGCAAAACTTGTGGTAACAAAAATTAAAGCAATGCGAGTTTATAAGGCCAAAATAGCAACAAAAATGTTCAAAACGAGTTAACTATCGAAACAAAAAGGTTCGAAAACGGGTTAACCATAAAAAAAGGTTCGAAACGGGCTCACCAATTATTGTGGTGGACCTTTTCACTCTATTAGCTTAGTTACCCAAATTCAAATAGAAAATAAAGTACCAAATCAGTTTAGTTACGGGAAGAATGTATTAAAGTTTGGTTACTTGGGTTTACAAAGATCCAAAGTCCACAATAAACGTTATAGACTCCAGGTGCTGCGGGAAGACTGCTCCAGTACTAATTCTCCAATGTTGACGTTGCCGGAGGTCGACCAAAGTACGTAGGAAGAACTACGGTGCTCCTGCAAAAATTTGAGATAGAAAGCAGGTGATTAAAATTGATCGACGGCAGTTGAGATGGTGGAGAAGACGGAGAGTCGAAGGCAGAACTATATATTTATTCAAAACCCGAGGTAAAGTTCAAAGTACAGAGTTTATGGTTAAAACAAAGTGGTGTACAATATGTTCATTATTTACATAGTAGTAAAATTTGGATAAGTTTATTTTTGAGGACTCCACAGGGCTCCCCCTCTTAGAGGTCCGGAGGACCATCAGTACTGTCCTCGTGGACGATTACATGAATATAAGCAATATAAATAAGGGACAATGTCAACAATAAGGATAACAAAAAATAACAATAACAACAATAAGGATAAAAAGTTAGATCAGGATGTATATAATGCATCCGTGTCGTATAAAGTTTAGCACATACAAGCACATACAGGAATTTTAAAAAAATCAAAACTTGTTGTAATTTTAAATAAAAAATTTATGTACATAATAAACCATGACATGTTCGTTAACATTTGTGAAATTCATATATAAATAGATATATACATATACTTGGTGAATGCGTGTGCTTGCAGTACAGTTGACGAACAGCAAATAATAATACTAATAAATATTTATGATTATAATGAAATGAATCTCGACAACATTAGTAATGAGAAGAATGTCTAAATGAGGTTAACGTTTATGTCAGTCAATAAAATGAACATAGCGGGCAGGTTTACAGATCTGCCGTCCACTGCGTGTCTGTACAGGGGGAAGAGTGAAGAGAGGGAGAGTTGGAGTTGAATTGACTTTCTGATTGTTCATTGGTGTCGGCGTTGCTAGTGTTTCATGTTTGCTGTCGGTGTACGCTGGTTTAAGACGGTCGATAGAAACAGTCTCCGGTTTACCATGTTTGTTCAGCGTGAAGTATTTATCGGTGCGTTTAAGTACTAGAAAAGGACCTTCATATGGATGCTGTAAACCTTTTCTAATGGCATCGACGCGAACAAATACAAATTTGCTAGTGAGTAGATTCTTATTAACTTGAACTTTCTGAAGTGATTGGCGAGAGGCTACTGGTCGAAGCTGGAGCATTTGCTGGGTAAGGCGGTTGGTGAAGTCGGAGATATTTACTTCAGCTGAATCATTAGACGGAACTAACTGACCAGGCAATGTGAGGGTAGTACCATACACAAGTTGAGCTGGTGTACATCCCAAATCTTCTTTTACAGTTGTTTGGATACTGAGAAGAACTAATGGTAGGTGTTCACTCCACTTAGATGAGTCAGCTTGTGCCATAAGCGAGCTTTTCAGTTGTCGATGGAAACGTTCCACCAGACCATTCGCTGCAGGATGATAAGCTGTAGTGGAGATATGGTTCACTCCAAAGAGTCTCGTAAACTCTCGAAACAGAGTTGATTGAAATTGAGCTCCTCGGTCTGTTGTAATAGTTGTGGGTACTCCGTAGTTTGACACCCAGCGATCTAAGAAAACCAAAGCGATATTTTCTGCAGATATATCGTTGAGTGGACAAGCAATAGCCCATCGGGTAAATCGATCAATCGCAGTAAGTATATGAGTAAATCCTCTGGATGGCGGTAATGGTCCAATAATATCTATATGAACGTGTTGAAATCGTTTATCCGGTAAATTGAACTGTTTTGGAGGTGTGACGGTATGATGATGTACCTTGGATCTTTGACATTGCAAGCATTGGCGGGCCCATTTCCGAATATCGGAGTTCATCTTGGGCCAAACAAAACGCTCGCTGATTAACTTGACCGTAGCACGCACTCCAGGATGAGACAATGAATGTAGATGTTCAAACAAAGGTTTTCGACAACTTAGTGGAACAAAAGGTCTATGAACGCCCGTTGAAACGTCGCAGACGATAGTTGTATCAGACAGGGGAATAGGTACATCCTGCAACTGTAGGGAGGAGTTTCGTCTACAAGTATGGAGTTCGGCGTCATTTTTCTGCAGCTTGGCAATATTGTCTAAGCTAATATCTATCGAAGATAGGTGATTAACGTCACATCGAGACAAAGAATCGGCTACGATATTGGAATCTCCTTTGATGAACTGGATGTCTGTTGAGAATTGTGAGATGTAATCCAGTTGTCTGGCTTCTCTCGGAGAGTGTCTGTCCAACGAAGTGGTGAAAGCATAACAAAGAGGCTTATGGTCGGTTAAGATAGCAAAATGTCGACCTTGTAGTAAGAAGCTGAAATGTTTCACTGCTAGGTAGATGGCTAACAGTTCTCTGCCAAAAGTGCTGTAACGAGTTTGCGCAGGTTCCAACTTTTTGGAGAAGAAAGCAAGTGGAGTGATGTCATTATTGAACTTTTGTTGTAAAACTGCTCCCACTGCTACCTGCGATGCATCTGTACATAAAATGAGTGAAGCTTCTGGGTTGATATGAGATAACATTACAACGTTGGATAAGGCATCTTTTGCATTATTAAATGCTGCTTTTGCCTCTTCTGACCAATGAAATTTCTTCGAATTGCATCTAAGTAGGTCGGTCAGTGGCTGAACTATGGAGGCACATGATGGAATAAAACGTCGGTAGAAGTTGAACATCCCGAGAAAACGTCTAAGTTTCTTTAAGGAATCAGGTTCGGGAAAGTTCTTAATAGTTTTTATCTTATCTTCGGTAGGTCTGATGCCTTCGGTAGTTATTCGATGTCCTAAGAATTCAATGGAAGGGGAACCAAAAATACATTTCTTTGGATTGATAACAACTCCAAATTGTTCAAACCTTTGAAATAACAAGCTTAAGTGTTCCATATGTTCTTCCATCGATGAGCTGGCAATTAAGACATCGTCGATATATACAAAGACGAAATCAAGACCTTGGGTAACTTGGTCCATAAAACGCTGAAATGTTTGAGCAGCATTCTTTAGTCCGAAAGGCATTCTCAAGAATTCGAATAATCCAAAAGGCGTAATAATTGCTGTTTTTGCAATGTCTTCTGGAGCGACTGGTATTTGATGATATGCCCTGACCAAGTCAACTTTAGTAAAAATGGTCTTTCCATGTAAGGTCAAGGAGAAGTCGTGGAGATGAGGTATTGGATAACGGTCTGGGACCGTAGCGTTATTCAAAGCGCGATAATCTCCACATGGTCGCCAGTCGTGATTAGTTTTGGGTACCATATGCAAAGGTGAAGACCATGAACTGTTAGATGGTCGTATGATACCTAGCTGCATCATATGTTCGAATTCCGACTTAGCTGCTGCTAGTTTATCGGGTGGTAACCGTCGTGGACGTGCCTTCACAGGTTGTCCTGTTGTGATGATCTTATGCGTAACTGTATGAGATATATCTTCGACGTTGTATGATGGTTTAAGGATTTTAGGAAATCGTTGCAATAAAGCAGAGAACATTTCACTCTCCGGCTTTTCTATACAGATGCTATGAACAGAGTAGTCACATGTAATACCGTGGATCTTGAGTTGGGTGCAATTGTCAACCAGTTTTTTCTTGCTGATATCAACCAACAGATTGAAGTGACTTAGGAAGTCTGCACCTAGTATAGCGTGACGTACGTCAGCTACTATGAAGATCCATGTGAAACGTCGGCGTAGTCCTAGGTTTAAAATCATTGACTGTTCGCCATACGTCTGTATGTTGGTTTGGTTGGCAGCACGGAGTGAAAGTTTTCCAGGTATTTTGGCTAATCGCCTGGATAGTGAAGGGGGAATAACACTGACCTCGGCGCCTGTATCTACCAGAAATAATGTGCCGGTAGTCAAATCCCTCACATAGAAAAGGCGACTGGGGTGATTGCCAGTAACAGCCGTCGCCATTACTGTCTGGCTGGGGAGTTTCCCTGAGATGAGTTACCACTGTTGTACATACACGGTCGAAGACACTTCAGGGCATTATGCCCATACCTCCTGTGATACCAACAAATGTTACGGCTTTGGGACGGTGTTCTAGAACGTCGTCTAGATCTTGATTGCCGTTGCTTGGATACCGTATGTGACTGGTTCCTTTGTGCTCGAAGCTCGGACACTTCCAGTCGTAAGTCTTGCATTTGAGATGTTAACTGGGAAAGTAACCAAAACGTTGGTGCGTCCTTCATAGATGTGGAATCCGGCAAGGCGGTAACAGGAGAGTTCTGTATCACTTCGCCTTTATGAAGTTCTTCCGGAAAAGTGACACGTTTATATGGAGCCATTGTCAAAACAAAGTTTAGTATAGAGATATACAAAATAGCAAAACTTGTGGTAACAAAAATAAAAGCAATGCGAGTTTATAAGGCCAAAATAGCAACAAAAATGTTCAAAACGAGTTAACTATCGAAACAAAAAGGTTTGAAAACGGGTTAACCATAAAAAAAGGTTCGAAACGGGCTCACCAATTATTGTGGTGGACCTTTTCACTCTATTAGCTTAGTTACCCAAATTCAAATAGAAAATAAAGTACCAAATCAGTTTAGTTACGGGAAGAATGTATTAAAGTCTGGTTACTTGGGTTTACAAAGATCCAAAGTCCACAATAAACGTTATAGACTCCAGGTGCTGCGGGAAGACTGCTCCAGTACTAATTCTCCAATGTTGACGTTGCCGGAGGTCGACCAAAGTACGTAGGAAGAACTACGGTGCTCCTGCAAAAATTTGAGATAGAAAGCAGGTGATTAAAATTGATCGACGGCAGTTGAGATGGTGGAGAAGACGGAGAGTCGAAGGCAGAACTATATGTTTATTCAAAACCCGAGGTAAAGTTCAAAGTACAGAGTTTATGGTTAAAACAAAGTGGTGTACAATATGTTCATTATTTACATAGTAGTAAAATTTGGATAAGTTTATTTTTGAGGACTCCACAGGGCTCCCCCTCTTAGAGGTCCGGAGGACCATCAGTACTGTCCTCGTGGACGATTACATGAATATAAGCAATATAAATAAGGGACAATGTCAACAATAAGGATAACAAAAAATAACAATAACAACAATAAGGATAAAAAGTTAGATCAGGATGTATATAATGCATCCGTGTCGTATAAAGTTTAGCACATACAAGCACATACAGGAATTTTAAAAAAATCAAAACTTGTTGTAATTTTAAATAAAAAATTTATGTACATAATAAACCATGACATGTTCGTTAACATTTGTGAAATTCATATATAAATAGATATATACATATACTTGGTGAATGCGTGTGCTTGCAGTACAGTTGACGAACAGCAAATAATAATACTAATAAATATTTATGGTTATAATGAAATGAATCTCGACAACATTAGTAATGAGAAGAATGTCTAAATGAGGTTAACGTTTATGTCAGTCAATAAAATGAACATAGCGGGCAGGTTTACAGATCTGCCGTCCACTGCGTGTCTGTACAGGGGGAAGAGTGAAGAGAGGGAGAGTTGGAGTTGAATTGACTTTCTGATTGTTCATTGGTGTCGGCGTTGCTAGTGTTTCATGTTCGCTGTCGGTGTACGCTGGTTTAAGACGGTCGATAGAAACAGTCTCCGGTTTACCATGTTTGTTCAGCGTGAAGTATTTATCGGTGCGTTTAAGTACTAGAAAAGGACCTTCATATGGATGCTGTAAACCTTTTCTAATGGCATCGACGCGAACAAATACAAATTTGCTAGTGAGTAGATTCTTATTAACTTGAACTTTCTGAAGTGATTGGCGAGAGGCTACTGGTCGAAGCTGGAGCATTTGCTGGGTAAGGCGGTTGGTGAAGTCGGAGATATTTACTTCAGTTGAATCATTAGACGGAACTAACTGACCAGGCAATGTGAGGGTAGTACCATACACAAGTTGAGCTGGTGTACATCCCAAATCTTCTTTTACAGTTGTTCGGATACTGAGAAGAACTAATGGTAGGTGTTCACTCCACTTAGATGAGTCAGCTTGTGCCATAAGCGAGCTTTTCAGTTGTCGATGGAAACGTTCCACCAGACCATTCGCTGCAGGATGATAAGCTGTAGTGGAGATATGGTTCACTCCAAGGAGTCTCGTAAACTCTCGAAACAGAGTTGATTGAAATTGAGCTCCTCGGTCTGTTGTAATAGTTGTGGGTACTCCGTAGTTTGACACCCAGCGATCTAAGAAAACCAAAGCGATATTTTCTGCAGATATATCGTTGAGTGGACAAGCAATAGCCCATCGGGTAAATCGATCAATCGCAGTAAGTATATGAGTAAATCCTCTGGATGGCGGTAATGGTCCAATAATATCTATATGAACGTGTTGAAATCGTTTATCCGGTAAATTGAACTGTTTTGGAGGTGTGACGGTATGATGATGTACCTTGGATCTTTGACATTGCAAGCATTGGCGGGCCCATTTCCGAATATCGGAGTTCATCTTGGGCCAAACAAAACGCTCGCTGATTAACTTGACCGTAGCACGCACTCCAGGATGAGACAATGAATGTAGATGTTCAAACAAAGGTTTTCGACAACTTAGTGGAACAAAAGGTCTATGAACGCCCGTTGAAACGTCGCAGACGATAGTTGTATCAGACAGGGGAATAGGTACATCCTGCAACTGTAGGGAGGAGTTTCGTCTACAAGTATGGAGTTCGGCGTCATTTTTCTGCAGCTTGGCAATATTGTCTAAGCTAATATCTATCGAAGATAGGTGATTAACGTCACATCGAGACAAAGAATCGGCTACGATATTGGAATCTCCTTTGATGAACTGGATGTCTGTTGAGAATTGTGAGATGTAATCCAGTTGTCTGGCTTCTCTCGGAGAGTGTCTGTCCAACGAAGTGGTGAAAGCATAACAAAGAGGCTTATGGTCGGTTAAGATAGTAAAATGTCGACCTTGTAGTAAGAAGCTGAAATGTTTCACTGCTAGGTAGATGGCTAACAGTTCTCTGCCAAAAGTGCTGTAACGAGTTTGCGCAGGTTCCAACTTTTTGGAGAAGAAAGCAAGTGGAGTGATGTCATTATTGAACTTTTGTTGTAAAACTGCTCCCACTGCTACCTGCGATGCATCTGTACATAAAATGAGTGAAGCTTCTGGGTTGATATGAGATAACATTACAACGTTGGATAAGGCATCTTTTGCATTATTAAATGCTGCTTTTGCCTCTTCTGACCAATGAAATTTCTTCGAATTGCATCTAAGTAGGTCGGTCAGTGGCTGAACTATGGAGGCACATGATGGAATAAAACGTCGGTAGAAGTTGAACATCCCGAGAAAACGTCTAAGTTTCTTTAAGGAATCAGGTTCGGGAAAGTTCTTAATAGTTTTTATCTTATCTTCGGTAGGTCTGATGCCTTCGGTAGTTATTCGATGTCCTAAGAATTCAATGGAAGGGGAACCAAAAATACATTTCTTTGGATTGATAACAACTCCAAATTGTTCAAACCTTTGAAATAACAAGCTTAAGTGTTCCATATGTTCTTCCATCGATGAGCTGGCAATTAAGACATCGTCGATATATACAAAGACGAAATCAAGACCTTGGGTAACTTGGTCCATAAAACGCTGAAATGTTTGAGCAGCATTCTTTAGTCCGAAAGGCATTCTCAAGAATTCGAATAATCCAAAAGGCGTAATAATTGCTGTTTTTGCAATGTCTTCTGGAGCGACTGGTATTTGATGATATGCCCTGACCAAGTCAACTTTAGTAAAAATGGTCTTTCCATGTAAGGTCAAGGAGAAGTCGTGGAGATGAGGTATTGGATAACGGTCTGGGACCGTAGCGTTATTCAAAGCGCGATAATCTCCACATGGTCGCCAGTCGTGATTAGTTTTGGGTACCATATGCAAAGGTGAAGACCATGAACTGTTAGATGGTCGTATGATACCTAGCTGCATCATATGTTCGAATTCCGACTTAGCTGCTGCTAGTTTATCGGGTGGTAACCGTCGTGGACGTGCCTTCACAGGTTGTCCTGTTGTGATGATCTTATGCGTAACTGTATGAGATATATCTTCGACGTTGTATGATGGTTTAAGGATTTTAGGAAATCGTTGCAATAAAGCAGAGAACATTTCACTCTCCGGCTTTTCTATACAGATGCTATGAACAGAGTAGTCACATGTAATACCGTGGATCTTGAGTTGGGTGCAATTGTCAACCAGTTTTTTCTTGCTGATATCAACCAACAGATTGAAGTGACTTAGGAAGTCTGCACCTAGTATAGCGTGACGTACGTCAGCTACTATGAAGATCCATGTGAAACGTCGGCGTAGTCCTAGGTTTAAAATCATTGACTGTTCGCCATACGTCTGTATGTTGGTTTGGTTGGCAGCACGGAGTGAAAGTTTTCCAGGTATTTTGGCTAATCGCCTGGATAGTGAAGGGGGAATAACACTGACCTCGGCGCCTGTATCTACCAGAAATAATGTGCCGGTAGTCAAATCCCTCACATAGAAAAGGCGACTGGGGTGATTGCCAGTAACAGCCGTCGCCATTACTGTCTGGCTGGGGAGTTTCCCTGAGATGAGTTACCACTGTTGTACATACACGGTCGAAGACACTTCAGGGCATTATGCCCATACCTCCTGTGATACCAACAAATGTTACGGCTTTGGGACGGTGTTCTAGAACGTCGTCTAGATCTTGATTGCCGTTGCTTGGATACCGTATGTGACTGGTTCCTTTGTGCTCGAAGCTCGGACACTTCCAGTCGTAAGTCTTGCATTTGAGATGTTAACTGGGAAAGTAACCAAAACGTTGGTGCGTCCTTCATAGATGTGGAATCCGGCAAGGCGGTAACAGGAGAGTTCTGTATCACTTCGCCTTTATGAAGTTCTTCCGGAAAAGTGACACGTTTATATGGAGCCATTGTCAAAACAAAGTTTAGTATAGAGATATACAAAATAGCAAAACTTGTGGTAACAAAAATAAAAGCAATGCGAGTTTATAAGGCCAAAATAGCAACAAAAATGTTCAAAACGAGTTAACTATCGAAACAAAAAGGTTTGAAAACGGGTTAACCATAAAAAAAGGTTCGAAACGGGCTCACCAATTATTGTGGTGGACCTTTTACTCTATTAGCTTAGTTACCCAAATTCAAATAGAAAATAAAGTACCAAATCAGTTTAGTTACGGGAAGAATGTATTAAAGTCTGGTTACTTGGGTTTACAAAGATCCAAAGTCCACAATAAACGTTATAGACTCCAGGTGCTGCGGGAAGACTGCTCCAGTACTAATTCTCCAATGTTGACGTTGCCGGAGGTCGACCAAAGTACGTAGGAAGAACTACGGTGCTCCTGCAAAAACTTGAGATAGAAAGCAGGTGATTAAAATTGATCGACGGCAGTTGAGATGGTGGAGAAGACGGAGAGTCGAAGGCAGAACTATATGTTTATTCAAAACCCGAGGTAAAGTTCAAAGTACAGAGTTTATGGTTAAAACAAAGTGGTGTACAATATGTTCATTATTTACATAGTAGTAAAATTTGGATAAGTTTATTTTTGAGGACTCCACAAGCGTACCAAATATGGCAGCTTGGTAGTACACTAGAAGTCAGATCATCCACGATCTACGCATGTTATAGGCCTGTCAATTGCGAGCTCAACGAGAGAATGTACAAACAATCACCACGCGAGATTCGTAGCTGTCTACCAGTAATGCATACATGATTAGACACACGAAGGTATAAATAGTAGACTTTTAATCAATTTGATCATCAAAAGTAAATTAGGTTGTGTTTGGAAATAATTTTGCGCTTTATTGAAATTATTGGAAATGTTGCGATATCTTTATAAAGAATAATTAGTCATCACAGAGCCTCCAGAGGCCAATTGAATCGTTTCAGAAGAGAACCCTGGGGTCTTCTAGTCACATTGTATTTGTCCAACTGATATTGAGGCAAACCTGATCGCCACCCAATCATTTTACTAGTTGTTAATGGTATTGGTGTTGGTGACGGTTCAATTTTAATATAATCAGATATAGGTACTGCCTCAGTGATCTTTAGGTGTTCAGGAATCTCTATAGGTTTTCTCTGAGAATCAACCAGGTCATGCATTTCATTTTTCAAGATTTCTTCTGGAGTCAGTGTCAGGAAACTCCAGTTTTTCGACCAAGCTCTGGATTCCCTTGCTTCCTTAATACAGTTGTCACGCCTTACAAATACAAGAATTTGAAGAAACCTACCATATTTTATCTTGGGCTACATAGTTGTGCAAAGGTACTTCCAAACCAATTTTATCTAATTTGCCTTCCATAATTTGAGAAGGTGGTATGACTGAATGTTGTGAGCAACCACTATTCTGAATCAGATAAACAAACCCAACTGTTACAAACAGGGTATCTC